TCACTGAACAAAAACCCAGGCTGAAGTGTTTTCTCTGTCAATAGTGAGTGGGTTACCTACAGTGCTAATCTCAAACATCTACCCAGTAATCCTCCTCCAGCAGTCAGGCAACATGATAATGAGACTACAAGCAATTACAAAATGACTACAGAGCTGGTTTGTCGGGGGTGCACCATGGCCACCCCTGTGGCCCTGCCTCTGGGTAGGCTTTGGGTTAGTGTTAAAAGAATACAGAATTCGTTGAAAACTGGCAACGTAATCATTAGAATGAAGCCTAATGTCAACATAGGTGACACAGCAGGGTTGATTTACTTTAGATGAACAAAGGTAGTCATTTGTATCTGTACAGTCTTTCACCTTTTTGTGTGATTTTGTTCACCTCTAAATCTGTATGTGTGCACTATTGTAGTCCTCATGCCTTCTATACACTACCTTAGTGCATGTTCATAAACACGAAGCCCATCAATCAAATTATTTGTCACATTCCTTTAAGGTGCAGATTTTTTTCCCCTGTGAAGCAAAATTCTACACGGTAAGTAAATAATATGGATTTCATGGATACCTGGGCTCTAATTGAAATAGATATGATTAGCATATTGTCTGTGTTTCTTGCTGCACCATAGTCCTGTTTGGTGTTATGCAGGGACCTTTATGGAAATGAGTGCTTTGAGAAAAAAAAATCAACAGAAATGTTCCCTATTTCTTTAAAAGGGGCACAAAATTACTGTGAAGATCATCCTGGTGAAACCACAGAGGGAAAATGTCAGAAAGGGGGAAAAAAGGTTCAAAGAGAAAATAGCTGACTGACTCTGTAAGTGAAGCTAAGCTCAAAATGAAAAATGTTCATTATATGCCCGTCAAGGTGAAAGGAAGCCATCTCCTCGCCGCTGCAGTTAAAATGTTGACCTCTCCTTGTCTGAGGGTGAAAAGAGGAGAAATGTAAAAAGAGGAGAATAGGCTGTTGTGTGTATGTGCGTACATGTTTTGCCACATGTGTGTGTGTGAGACTGATCTGAGCTCCGGTCCAGACAAGGGCAGCAATGTTAATGGCGCCACTCAGTAAAATGACCCTTACATCCGTTTCTTCATACATTTTACAGTGCTTCAGAAATCCACACATTTTCCCCTTGTCAGCAGTGTTTGTGTATCACCGTTGCATTGTGTGTTTGTGACCTCTACAAAGAGCACCGCGCCCTCTCAGGCCTCTGCCTGTCTCTTTGTATGTACCTCCTCATGTTAAGGCTGTTAAATCGCACTCAGGACGCATTTAATTCAGCAGTGAAGCAGAATGTTATAGTCGACCTCTGCGGATCACAGATGCTGTCCCTGGTGCCTCATTACTGACAATTTGTAATGTAATGTTACTTGAATTACTCGCTGTGTTGGCAAATGTGTTTATTTTAAAAAGAGCCCTCATTCAGCTTTATTAATATGGCGGCCACGATACTACAAATCCCTGAGAACAAAGCAGCAGGTGGGAGCTGAGTAGCTGACCACACTTTTGACAGAAATGTTCTGAAAGGACTGTCGTGGCCTGACTGCAAATCAGCGGAAGCCTGCGTTTTGATTTGTTGGGTTCTGTGCTCATGCCAAGGTCTGGTTCAGTTTTCATGGTCAGTGGATTATGAGCTAACCTTCAACCCCACCATCTTATTTCTTACAGCAGTGTCAGATGTTAAAGAGCTCACGTTTTTAAAAAATGTGATCAGTGGCAATAAAGTCCAACTGCTCTGAGCAGATATCATACTGTAGCCCATCATTAGCAGCCCCTCTATTGATGCAAGGTTTTTCTATACTTAAGATCTTTTTCCTTTTTGACTTTTTAAAGTATCAGTTTTTAGGAGACATTTGTCAGATGTTTAATAAATCTATAGCGAAACATTTTTCTTACTGTCAAAATTCCTCTGAAAAGACCCAAACCAAGAATCATTGCATCCAACAAGTGCATATATGGTGTGTGTTGTGTACCTTGACATCTTATTCCTCCATGCTATATAGCTGGATTGTTGTCTAACAGCTGTTAAAACACATCAGTGAGCCACAGTGTTGCACTGGGTGCTCCTTCATTATGGACAAACAAACCAGTATCTTATTTTTGATTCAATCCCACACATACTGTATCATCCTGCTGGTGGAAAAGTGAATGAATCCACCCATGAAAATAGTCCTCAACAAATGCACCGTTTCTTCCTGTTTGAGTAATGTTTGTTAAAAATCATACCAGATGCAGATGATTTAGGAAATTAACAAACCTTCTTAAGTCCTTTAAAAACTATAAGAAACTAGAAATAAGAAACTCTGTATCTGAGAGGTTTATATCTAGATCTTTTGTATAATGACCAAAGCAGATATTTTGAAGAGATGTTTTATTCTGAGGAACTCAGAATGTTCATAGTCCATGATTAATAAACTAACTTTGATTCCAGGCATTGAGGGAAAAAAGTACATCGCCGTGCCCCCAGAACTTGGCTGACTGCTGTGCTTTGTTTCAGCTAAAGACAGCTTCACACACACCACCCTCAGCAAACAAATCATAGGTTGACATCAAAAGGCACGGCCTCGTCTCCATGACTACAATGGACAATCTCCGCCCCTATCCTTGTGACTTTTACTACACTAGAATCACATCTTGAACTTCTAGACAATAGGTGTGAGCTAGTTGAAACAAGCCCAAGACAGTTGGTCATCTTATCTGATTTGTTTCCAGGGGAACACAGACATTAGGACCATCTCACCCTTATCTAACCTCTCTGTCCCCACAGGACACACTGAAATGTGACAAGCCCAGCATAAAAATTCGCTTAATATTTGCTTCTTTCTCCCCACAACAATGAAAAGGTTCTTAGATTTGAGAATGTGAAATTATTTTAACTAAAATTTGTCTAAATTATCTACAATGAAATTAGAAATATTTAGTAAAGCTGATAAATGATTCCTGAACCTGTTTATATGAAAATGTTCCCATGAGGTTTGATTTAAATCTGTCTCAAGCTGTCTGAAAACTCAACCACAGAAAAATGACTTTCAGGTTAACCTCAACACTCTAACTTTTGATTCTCATTTATGATTGTGTACTAATAAGAATTGCACTGTCTTTTATTTAGTGAACGCTCCTTCATTATGGACAAACAAACCAGTATCTTATTTTTGATTCAATCCCACACATACTGCATCATCCTGCTGGTGGAAAAGTGAATGAATCCACCCATGAAAATAGTCCTCAACAAATGCACCGTTTCTTCCTGTTTGAGTAATGTTTGTTAAAAATCATACCAGATGCAGATGATTTAGGAAATTAACAAACCTTCTTAAGTCCTTTAAAAACTATAAGAAACTAGAAATAAGAAACTCTGTATCTGAGAGGTTTATATCTAGATCTTTTGTATAATGACCAAAGCAGATATTTTGAAGAGATGTTTTATTCTGAGGAACTCAGAATGTTCATAGTCCATGATTAATAAACTAACTTTGATTCCAGGCATTGAGGGAAAAAAGTACATCGCCGTGCCCCCAGAACTTGGCTGACTGCTGTGCTTTGTTTCAGCTAAAGACAGCTTCACACACACCACCCTCAGCAAACAAATCATAGGTTGACATCAAAAGGCACGGCCTCGTCTCCATGACTACAATGGACAATCTCCGCCCCAATCCTTGTGACTTTTACTACACTAGAATCACATCTTGAACTTCTAGACAATAGGTGTGAGCTAGTTGAAACAAGCCCAAGACAGTTGGTCATCTTATCTGATTTGTTTCCAGGGGAACACAGACATTAGGACCATCTCACCCTTATCTAACCTCTCTGTCCCCACAGGACACACTGAAATGTGACAAGCCCAGCATAAAAATTCACTTAATATTTGCTTCTTTCTCCCCACAACAATGAAAAGGTTCTTAGATTTGAGAATGTGAAATTATTTTAACCAAAATTTGTCTAAATTATCTACAATGAAATTAGAAATATTTAGTAAAGCTGATAAATGATTCCTGAACCTGTTTATATGAAAATGTTCCCATGAGGTTTGATTTAAATCTGTCTCAAGCTGTCTGAAAACTCAACCACAGAAAAATGACTTTCAGGTTAACCTCAACACTCTAACTTTTGATTCTCATTTATGATTGTGTACTAATAAGAATTGCACTTTTATTTAGTGAACCTTCCTTTCTCTCACAGAATGTCTATGTATGTCTTTTTATGTTCAAACTAGGTGTTGCTTAAATTTTATGTGCAAATGTGATTATTCCACATACCAGTCATATGAAGGTGCGTTTCAAATGTCAGCCATGGTGGAAGTGTGAGCGTTTCCACAGTGCGCTCCAAAACGAAACAATCAGGAACTGATTGTCATGACACCAGAGTCCCAGCCAGTCAGAGGGCTCACACTGGCAGACTCCTGACCAATCAGGCAAAGCCAAGTGCCTGAGCCTGTGTATGGCTGCACGAGTCACCGCCTCCCTGGAGCAACAGAACAAGAATCAATGAATGAAGAAAGTTTAGAAGTTCCGAAGCATGCGTCTCATCTGTTTCTCATCTGCGTGTTTTCGTGTTTTGTGTAGAATTCCTTTTTCTAAATCTTATGCGCACATTGCAGTTTTGAACTTTTTTTTTATTATTTACAAATCTAACATTTTATTTCATTTCGCATCCCGATCAGTTTCCCTTTTGTACATGCTGTAAATTTATTTATTTAGCTTATAACTGGCTATATTACGTCATCTTTACTCTGACTTACGGATATCTGGGTCAGTGTCCTGAGAACTCTAAAATTACCAATCAGACTGAATGAATTACTCTGATTGACCAATTCATCAACAGCATCATAGCACTGTTAAAAACTCACTGTGTTGGGCTCAGACATTATATACTATGAGCTTGTCAGGTCAGGTTCACACAACATACTCTCAGGCAATGGATTAGGTTCAAACTGAAATATTAAATTCATTGTTGGTCATCACTTTCCCATCACTGTCTATCATATTGTCTGTTCTTTTTTGTACAGTGACTGATTGGTATGGTGTGGCACTGACATTGGACACTCCGCTGTAGCAACAAGTGATTTCTCCCCTTCCAAACGCCTCACACCTCCAGCCTCCAGCCTCTCAGACAGGTAGGATGACTTACTTTTTACAAGATAACATGAATGGTGATATAGTAAATATTCATGGCGAGACAGTGAGCCTAAGGGAAAATGGAGAGTATGTGCACACTAGTTTGAAAGTACCCAAACTTGGTTAGACTGGCAAAAGACAATATTTTGACCTTATCAGGTCTTTAAAAGGCAAATGGCCAACATGGCAATCACTGAGGTGTATATAGGCACAAAACTGATCACATCTTGTTGTCATTGTCACAGTATCAAATAAAAGTGTACAACAAATGTTTAAATATGAGAGAAACATATATGGAAAAAAACAAAACTTAGTACTTCTTCAAATATTTTAACATTAAAACAAGACTCCAAGACTCACAGTATAACTGGACAACACCACAGAATATTCAGTAGACCCCACAGCAGAAACATTAATAAGGGAAGGAAAAATAAATAGAAATAAAGCACAACACTGACCTTAGAAAATAGAGGTTTGAATTAAATGGCGCACAAAGAAAAATAAATCCAGTTGTGTCTCTTTTTTCCCCATACGAGAAAAACGAAAACTGTTATCTTTTCTTATTGAGAACTAAGTCTACCAAAGTAAAGAAACCTAAATTGCTAGGGCAGAGATGGCCAAAAGTGAAATTAATAAAACATAGAAATCTTATTCAGTACACAGCCTCTGTACTTTCTCATTATGTAGCTCATCTCCTAATTAGAAAATGTCTCAGCGGGTCTCTAAATGCCATGTTGACTTATCTTACAAAACATTGGACAACAAGAAATAACCTTTTTTCTTCTGCTGCCATTTTGTGTAATGAGCCATTGTTTCCTTGTCCCTCTGCTCTCTCATGGGCTCATGGTACAGTATATGCATGTGGTTAAAAGGCACCAGAACAGACTCACTGGAATGATAATCTAGTATGTGTCTACACTTATAGAGAATATCTCCAAGCATGTCAGACTTGCATCTAAGCTGTTGCTGTAATTTCCTTTTCAAGGGCAACTTGAAAGAGGAGTCAAGAAGAAAGTGGCATTAGTTTCTTGCGTTTTTTTCTTTTTGTGGTTGTTGTTGTTTTCCTGCAAAACAGGAGGCTCAAAAGTAACCCTGTGCT